CTGACTTCTGCCCTCTTTAACTACCTCCAATCTCCTTAACTCTGGCCTGCATCATCCAACTGGTCTGCAGCAAATGGCTTCCTCCTCCTCGAAATTCCTTGACTTCTGTAATTCCATCTTACAATTTTTTTCATATTGGTACACATAGTTGTCCTGTGACCCTCCCAACATCGAAGAACAGAAAGGGGGTAATATGGATGTCTGTTTGGTGACCGAACCGATGATTCACTGTCAACATCTGTTTTGTCACCAGCTCTGTTGTGGGACAGCTCTTCTGCTGGTAACAGAGGCATCCATACTTAATCAACGGCAAATCGCTAGAGAACATAATGAAGCCCTGGCACGAAGTTAATTGGAGGACAATGACATCCTATTATGCACAGCAGCAGAACCACATATGCAGCAGTGAGAAGTTCCACTGAAATCCTACCCACAGTTCTCTAAGGTGCAATAGACAGTGTGCTGGCTGCAGGCTGGGGTCAGGGACACCGGTCGCTAGCTGGTCACTGGTCCTTGGATCATACCCCTCCCTCCCCGCAGAATCCCCCAAAGTGAGGGAAATAGATGAGACGAACTGTGAAGTTCCTTGCAGCAAAAAAAAAAAAGCTTAACTGTTTTCTAGTTGTAAAGCATTATTTTCATTAAAGATGTTTAATCATGACATGCTCTTCCATTCACTGTATCTGTTTTCATATATGTGGCATTCCTGACAATTCCAAATACTCATGTCTCAAGTTTAAATTAAACTACAATTTATGAAATAAAGGAATTCCTTAAGCGGACTTCACAGAATGCTAATGTATCTATTTGTTGTTTGCGTTATATTAGAAATTATTAGAAACTATATTTTTCCATTTTCATGTGTTTCTTTAAAAAATTTCATTCTCAGCACACTGTGTCCTAGAATGTATTCAATATTCAAATAAAAGGCATTTTGTTTTAAACCTGTTTCTTTGATTTAGTGTCTTCCGTATATATTTCAAATCATCTTTGATATTTAAATGTTTAATTATTAATGAAAAAGATTGGGAAGGAGGCTTGTTTAAGCCAGCACACTACACTTCCTCAGGAGAAGAAATTCTCTCTCGCTCTGAAAGAGTA